GAAGTTTAAGAGTTTCTCATTCTTGGAATTTTCTTCTCAAATGCTGAGTTGCCTTTTCATTGGTGAATCAACTAAAACATAATGCAATCCAAATGCTATTTCATTCTATTTATAATTTTCAAATAGCTATTTTTTTGAAGGTCTGAGTATACATTAAGTGTTTTGTTGATAATTGCATACCAAAATCATCTAATTCACATAGATTGAAAAGGCATACTATGTAGCTATGGAATCACATTACAATAATTGAATTTGCACATCTAAGCTTTTAAAGAAAATTTATATGATGTATATACGGTTTAAACAATGTAAATATTACATTTTGTTAGGGTAACTAGGGGTCCACTATTGAACTTCATATTCTGATAGATCCTACATTTATTTCCATAAATAGGTCAATATAAATTTACTTATATATTTTCATGAAATTTCATTAATCAATTTATTATAGTATTATATCTGCCTACAAAGAAAACTTTGAAAAGGAATTAGAGCCAGAAAGAAAACTTCTTTTATAGCTGTATACATAATAATAGCCATATTTCATTAAGTATACTTTGGGATTTAAAATCTAATTCTTACATATTTTCTTCTATGCAGTTAAGCTTAGTTAAATATCATAAATACAATATTAGCGTATGAATTAAAGAAAACAATTCTAACAGGTAGATTCCATTCTAAATAATGTTTATTTAATTTAAGGGATAGATAATATAATTATAGCAGATAATGTTGTAATAGCTCTCCTCTCTACTAAGTCAGTGAGGCATTTCCTGCCTCATTATGACCCTACCACCTACCTTCCCCTCCCTCTATTGTTTATCCTTCCATAATCATCTTTCTCCTTGGTAGTTACTAATCCCTGATTATACCTTCATTTCCAGTCTCAAACTTTGGTTGCTTTAGGTCATACTGGCCATCATTTCCACTGGTGAGGTAGAGGAAAGATTAATTCAGTTTTTCACTGTTTATATATCATGTCACATTAACTCTTGGGATATTGTGATTCATACTTGGGATACTATCAGATAAAATGGTTGAGACAAGTACCTTCACCTTTCCACATTTTCAATGAACTCAAGAAATATCTCCTCTTTAGAGGAAAACACAAAATCCTTGTGTGGGTAAAACTGTAGTATTTCCAGAATATCTCGCCTGGCTTTAGTGCATCGACATATCAACAGGCATTCCTCAGGGGTGGAGATTTGTAGTTCATCTCCATATCAGTGAGTAATTACCTGGGTGACCAGGGGCTTATCTGAACCTGAAAGGTTGGGGGGAGGTCTTGCTTGCTTCTGCTGGAGCAGAAGAGGGAAATGTTTTAAAGACTATTATAAAAGCCTGCTTAAAGCAGCATAGATTTATCTTCTTGGGCAAGAAAGTGTTTTCTATGCTGTTTGCCTCTACTTGCTCAATAGTATTAAGAGGTCCTATTTATAGATCTTCAAAGCTATTCTTTAAGCACAGTGAAAAATTTTTTCATTATTTAGTGTATTCAAATTGCATTTCACAAGTTAGCTTTCATTTTCCTGCAGATAAATGAAAGCAGGCAATAAATATGTTATCATATAATCTGAAAATCTATTTTTTAAAAAAAGCTAGCAGTTATTACTATCAAATTATCATCAAATACAGGACTTCTTAAAGGAAATGAAGTGAATTAGAAAAAATTTTGGAAAAATAGTACAAAATCTTTGCCTCATACTTACATTTATAATTCACATCCATTTGTTTGCTTGGCTGTTTAGCATGTCTCTTCCTGTACTGTGAGTACCATAAAAGTAGAGACTATGTTTTATTCACATATATGTCTGTGAATATATTTTTTTATGTGCTCAATACTTATCGTATGTATACACACGATAGATACACATAACACATATGGTGTATATATTGTGTGTAGATATGTACATATATTATGTGTATATATATATAATGCTCTATTAGTACACTATACACTAGAATAACAAACATTTGTTGAATAACAAATGAAACTTTAAAATCCAGTCTTTAGGAATTTATCTGATACTTTAATCTCTTCTACAATAAATTCCCATCAGTACCCCAACGTAAGTTTACTTCATATGAATTCTCTCCACTGTTCAGCTTTTTATTTACCTTCTCAATTATTATATCTATGTCTCATAGGCCTTCTTGAATTGATATGTAATGAAAGGTAAACTTGAAAGTTTCATTTACCCCTAGCCTTTCCTCTCTTCATAGTACCTGTTTTCTGGCTTTTGGCATATGTTACCATAAATGAACACCAAATGTTGAGAGTCTACTGTGAGCCAGACAATGTGTTTGGCACTGGGAATAAAGAGAACTATTTACCTGGGGAGGCATAATTGTAAACAAATAATTAACTACACAGAGAAGTGATGACAGAAATGTATACACTGTGTCATGTGAGTTTGAACAGGATGGCTGTGCTTCAGGAATAGTTAAGACAGAAGATGAAGGTAGAAGAAAAATTTCACATTAATTTTTATTAGAATCTCTAAGGAAGACTGCAGGGTCTCACTGAATGTGAGTAGAACATTCATGGTAGGCAGAATAATCAACTGGTACATAGGCAGTCTCCCTGCCACTCCATTTAGTTCTGCAACTGTCCCAGAGGACAATAAAACCACCACACTGCTCCAGGCCACTCTAATGGTTCTATGTGGCAAATTTCATCATATCTTCATGTTTAAAGTTTTACTCAACCCTCATAAAAAGTTCAGAGATTTTAATCTAGTGTAAAAGCCCTTCATAGTCTGACTGATCACTCCATTTGATCTGATAATTTCTAACACCTGTTCACGAGTGTATATCAAATCTCATGATCTTTGCAAGGTCTATGTTCTCTCAGGCCAGAATCCCTCTTCTGTCTCACCCAACTAATTCCTACTAACTTTTTAAGACTAAGCTCAATCATTATATTCAGAGGAGCCTTAAATAGAGTGGGCACCACATAGCACCCTGTTTAAGCTTTTTTACATGTTTCAGATTGCACCATAAGGATGTGGCCCCTTCCACTAAAGACTATTTGCTGATAACTGTATCTCTTGTCTGCCTCACCTGTGGAGGGCACTAGCTATTGGGACTCTTGAAAAAGTAATCTACACTCTGGGATAATTTAAGAATAATTTAATATAATTTAAGATAATTTAATGCCTTAAGAAAGTGAATGTTCTCCATATTAACTAGCTACTAACTCTTGTGTAATCATAGAATTTAAGTATTCAAAAGAGCTTTATGGCTATCTAATGCAATGTTTTAAACATGTTTTTGATGTTCCATATCACAGCATGATAAATACACATAATTGTACATCTAAAACAACAATTCCACAACATACTTCTTCTACTTACTACTGATATTATAGAAAAAAATTAATATCTGATATTATTTCATAATTATTTAATTTAGCAAAGAAAAAAATGAACAATACCAAAATAAACTAAGTAATAAATCAATAAAGTAGCCTTGTGCTTACCCACAAAAATGAGCTCATATTCCATTTATTAAACTCCTCCCACATTTTACAGAGAAAAGAAGTCAAGTCTTGAGAGATAAGTGACTTGTCCAGACACATGAGAACAAAACTGTATCTCAAACACATTTAAATTTCATGCTATTGCTCTTTCCACTGTACCACGATTAGAAGGGCAGAACTTCTGCTAAGAAGCTACAGAATGTCTAACTCATTTACTGTTTGAGACTGAGAGACTCTGCCTTTGGGGAAAATACTTTTACTAGGAATCTCGATGAACTCACTGGTTAACCTTCTTATTTCTATGGCACAATCCATAATTTTTCATAGAATATCTGTATTAAAAACAATACTGATTTGGAATCCATTTTTAAAAGATACTTAAAGTCCTTAGACCTATAAACTCTGGATCAAAGCTGTTGAGGTTTCAATGCAGAAATTTCAGATTTGTAATGATACTTTCAAAGTAGAACACTGAGTGAGAAGAGAAGATGCTGTAAGTTGGGAAGAGGAGAATGAGGCTGATGGAGAAGCATGGAATTCTGAACAAAAAATAGTAGAACTTGAAGTCCTTTCTTAATTTTTAAAAACTGAAATTGTTAGCATATCATATTTATATGAATATTGTTAAATATGTTAGTTAAACATGTAAGTTGTTTCCAATATACAGTTTGGTTTACTCTGCCCTTATCTAGTCTGTTCTACACTCTGGGATAATTTAAATGATTCTCTAGTGCCTTAAGAAAGTGAATGTTCTCCATATTAACTAGCTTGGTGAAGAAGGAATAATGCTTGTTTTTAATAAGTACAGATAATATGTTATATTATGCTATTATGAAAGGGTCAGTGGTGGGGAGCTTTATGCATGAAATGGACAGTTTTTCTCAGACTCATGCTATTATTTGAGAATAAATTAGGAAGGGCAAGAACACTTATCATTTAAGAGTGCCAGAGATTACAGGCTTAAAGTATTTAACTGAAAACAAAATCAAATGACTGTACAATTATAATTATCATAGAATCATGATAAGTTTGAAACAGCGCAGACCATGTGGGAAACTGGTGTCTGTAGAGAGGTCAAGGGCTTCTTTGAGAAGCAAAGTTAGGCTAAGCAGGTGTTTGAATGAAATCACTCTTATCAAATATCAGTTTTCATTTCTGAGTCTGTAAAACAATAACCTGAAGTTACCTAAATGTAAGTATAATTGCAAATTTCTTTACCTTAAATTCACTGATCAATTATTTTGGAGTCTAATTATGACAAATGTCACATAGAGTTGATTTTATTAATTAAATAATTATTTATCAGTGAATATTTTTATTTTCATCAAGCATTCATTTGAAAACTTTTTACACTTGAAAACAGCAACAAAATAAAACTTTAACACAAAATACAGTAACACACACACAAAACTTTTCATTTTAAAGCACTCTGCACCAGCCAACGTCTGTCCTGTCTGACTCAGGAGTTGTTTAACCTCTGTCCTTGTTGATAGCTGACTGAGAGAAGCTCAATACTTACGTGTACATTATGGACCCAGGACTGGGGCAGTTTCTATGCAGTCACCACCTCATCTGTGTCAGTCAGGTTAGGGCTGGGAGGCTGTAAGATAATGAGAGTCACTGGCAATAAGAACGGCAACAAGACGGACAGGTTTAGTGACTGAGGTCTGTAGCCCTGATAAGAATGTGATCAATTTTGGGCCAGCCAGTTCCACACAGTGAGGTGTTTGTTGATATCCACAGAGAGAAGCTCCAAGTTGTAGAGGGCACACACAGCTGCTGATGATTCAGAAGGCCTCACCTGTCCCACTGGGCAAGTACGATCAGCACTGAGGTGTGACTCCAAATATTAGAGTACATGGATGGCATTTCTTACTTCATTAGAATTGTTACGTTTGTCCTTTCGAGGCATCCATGAAGTGCGGTGATGTGGAAGAGACCTGGGCTAGGGGCCAGGGTGCCTGTCTCTGCCGCCATGGTCATGGAACCATCGGCAAGCTGCTGAGCTCAGTAAGACTTTTGTCATAAGCAAAATGGCAGGACTCTATTAGCTATTTCTAAAATGATCCAATTTCACTCTAAAGAGACACTTTATTGAATTTATTTACCCCCAGAAAGGCAAAGTTTAAAACACCTCTTTTCTCCTTTGTCATCAAGAATAGATTAGTCCATCTTAGTATATGTGTATTCCTCAGTATTGATGATCAATTTAGATAATTGCATTTATCCACAGAGATTTTAGTCTCATACATGAACTTGTAATGAAGATCAGTAAAGTTGCAGGATGGATACTACAATTTTAAGATGTGCTTTTAAAGGATCAGAGCCAAGAGACAGTAAAGAGAAAAAAGAAACAAAAAGCTTTAAGCATGCCTATTTGTTATTTATACAAAACACTTTTATCTAAAATACTATAAATATAATATGAATACAATATCAACATTTGCATTATAATATCCTACTAAGGCATTAACATGAAATATATTTCCTAAGACATTTTAACAGTCAAGGACACTTAGAGTCACTTGATATTTAACATTTTATAATCAAAGATCACAGAAGCTATCTTATTTTCAAAAGCTGAAATACAGAGTTCTACTATCCACCTCAGGAACTGTTCCTGCTATGCCATTCTCTTAAATTATCTTCTATTTGATTTTAAGGGTTCTATTTATTTGTTTTTTTTACCCCCTCCTTCTGCTTTCAGAGAATAAGTAAAATAGTTCAGTGAAGTCGTGCTTGGCCCATAATAAAGCCCTCAAAAATATTAGGCACTTAATTCTCTCTCAACTTTCATTTTTCCCCCTAGGATCAAGACTTTATTGCTCGTTGTTTTCAACACACTTCAAAAGTGGTATTTTCCAACTCTTTGGCTTATACAGTTCTCTCTTCAGTAACATATTATCTGTAGTTCTTTAAGTGCAGTAAATATATTAAAAATTGATGTGTAAGATACTAACTAATGTAGCATATGAAGATTTTTTTAAACAAATGTTCCTTATAATGCTCAGAACTCAGTAATTTGTCTTATATACATGAAATTACTACTTGTAAATTGAAATTCATTGGTTCCCAGCACCCTCAGCACAGGTTGCTACATGTGGGCAGGCACCACACTGGTTTCTCTTGCTGCCTTGCTGATTGACTTATTATCTGTCAAAAGTAATGAGTGTGTGATGCAGAATGCCAACGGGGAAAAGTCCACAGTAAAATGACCCTGCATCAGGACATCAAGGGAAAGTTAAGATGCTCCCGAATGGATGATGCTTCTTCAGTGTCCAAAATAAACAAAAGGACTCAAAGAGATAACTTTTAGAATAGAATCTATATACAATTTATGTACACTTCCCTTTAATTATAGATTTTACAATAAGTTAATTATATTTATGAACTAATAAATAGAGGTATCACAAGTAATTTACCTCATATTTACTAGTAGCCTAAAGTTTGATGGCTCACCTTAAGTTTCACTTTGTACCTAATAAGACAATTAGTATAATATTTTGCCATTGAAGAAAGAACTTATGGGGTTTGTGGGAGGATCACATGTTCTCAAGTGTGACATTGCCGGAAGGTGGTAACATGGAAGAAAGACGACATCCTTAAGGAAGACAGTGAATCCTGTAGACTACAATGAGTGCGTCATTGGTTGAAGGAAAAGGAGAACACATTAGGTGGCTTTTCTCTAATGTATTAGAAGAACTGGTTCATATTATTTGTCCAGACAACTAAGACAACAAAAATGGAACACTCATGCTAAAATCAACTAATCTCCATGGATCATTTCCATCTGTTCATTAAATTATGGAACTAAAAACATAATATATGTGCAATTTTTTAAATCTCAAAACATAGATCTTGGAGTTGTTTGAGTCAGTGTTCAAGCCAATAATTTTTCTTCTCAGATCCTAACTGTTTCTTTTGGAATATATTTTATTTTTAAGCAAAATATATATTTCACATATAAGAGAAATTACTTTACTTCCATATAATAGTTTAATTATTTCATTATAATCATCTTCATTGTTGTAGACATGTTCTATTATTATTCAAGTATAAAATTCTAAAATGATATCCTTGCTTATAAATATCTGTATTTGAACTAAAACAATTCATCAGTTTTAAGCAGTACAGTTAGATTTTGGAACTAACTTACATAGCAGTCTTTGGACAATCTCCTCAGAGATTTGGAGGTTCCCAATATGTAACAGTAGAATCAAATAAACATCAAAGATGAAGAAGATATCATGTTTTATATCCTAGAAATTTTCAAAACCACAAAATCTTATAAAATTTCAGTTTGTATTCTTCATAACTGAAAACTTTTGTATTTAAAAGTACTGCTGCCTAAGTTCTTTTACAAGTAATTATAAAATATATTTCTGCATTCTTATATGTAGAGTTTAGTTTTTTAATACTCTGTGTTCAACCCATCTAGCTAAAGATTGAGAACATAGCAGATGGGTAAGTTTGTTATACTGAAGTGAATTGACTGATATCAGCACCACTGAGAATCTGTACCTAATACTAAAATAGCCATTTATTTTCATTCTTTGGGTGATGTTATTGGAAAATATTTTATGTACAAACTGTTTCACTCGGGAGAAAAATGAGTAGGTTCCATTTTAATGGAATTACTTGTGTAATGTAATGGAATAATACAACTTCAAAGCAAAGTTTTAGAAATTCTTCTTTTATACTTTCAGTATATTTACAGTTTACAGATTGCCTTTGTTCATGATACTTTCAACTCCAGTCCTCCATAAAGAATAACTCATGTAGATAAATGGCTTAGTAACATCTGTATAGTTGAGGAGGTCTAAGAATGTATGTTCCTGGGGCTTTATGGTAGCAATTTGTAACTACTGATTGACTAACACTTATCATTAAAAAGAAAACTTTAACCTGATCTCTAACTTGACAAGCAACTTGAATGCTAGACAGTAGAGTAGGCTATAAGGAAAAAATAAAAATAACACACACTTCTTAGTGCCAAGGATCCTTCTACCAAGATAACCTTAAAAACTTCTCTGAGCACAATGATAGCATCAAAATCAAATGTCAAAATCACAGATTGTCAATAATACTATGTCAACAAGTGATATAGGAAGGGTTTCCCTGGGTCTTCACAGATAGTGTGTGGGCTTCTCCATCATCAAACAGATCAGATAATTAATATCCAGGATGATTGGAATGGCCAATGAACAAATAATAGCCAAACTCATGAATAGCAACAGAAAAAAAAAACAGCAAAACAAAAAAACCTTTCTGGTAGATAAGTTTGACATCATAATGCAAAACTATGAAGGGCATAACTCATGAGTGTAGGTGAGATTGCATTTCTTCCATACTGATTCCCCTACATCAAACTGATGAACTGGGAACTCCACATCTACATTTTTGCTTCATCTCCCAGTGAATGCATCAAATTGTCCAGGAATATTCTTCCCCAATAACTGATGCATTTCCTGGACTAAAGAAGTCATCATTGCCTTTCATCCTCTTTATTGGTATTCAGCCTGTCTTAGGGTCACAATATGGTTTCAAGTCATTTTTTACTTGTGTACCATTAACTGTCAAAGGTACAGCTGGCAGCTTGCTGGGTCACAAATAGAAGTTTCATTCTGAGCATTGCCAAATGATTTTAAGAAATGTTTCTTTCCTGGAGGAAGGTATTAACGTTCACTAGAAGCACAATGCTATGAACTTAGTCATCAAGGGTATTTTCTTGCTTAAAAACATGATGAAGTTACTAGTTGGAAATGGAACAGCTAAAACTATTTCCTTGAGGAGATTCAACAAAGAGGTGGGAGGAACCAGAGGAAGTAGCCACAGGAACCCTATAGCATGATTCCAGTTTGTGCTAAGATTTCTTCACCAGACATGGGACCTGAAGCTATCATTTGTAGGCACATAGCCAGACTAGTTTTTAGATTGAAGGGGAGGCAATTGGTTAAAAAGAAAATCTATAAGAAAGTGACAGAGATATGCAAAAGAAAAATTCCTTTCCCCCTCTATAATCTCCTTTCCAGGATGAGGAATAAAAAAATACATAATCACAAAGCTAGGACTCTAGTGACAGAATTGACTGGTACCTCATAGTTGTATGTCTGACTAATGCAGATAACATTTCTAGATCTCATTTTCTAGACAGATGATGGATGAATAGATAGGTAGGTAGGTAAATCGATACATAGATGATGCACAGATAGATAGATATATAGACGATAGATAGTGAGATAAATCTAGTGTTTAGACTAGGTCTGGGGACCATGGATATGTTTCAGTTGGATATACTGAAATCACTGAAATATCTTGTATATATGTGTGTGCCCTTTTCTAAAGGAAAGCTTTATTATTTCACTAGATTCACCCTGGGTTCTATGCTGTAAGACCTATTAAGAGCTACTGAAACTGATGACTTTGAGGTCCTGTGGATTGGTTATATTCTATTCCCCCACATGTAGCACCCAACCCAACTCTAATCAGATGCTCTGATAATTCTTACTTGCTTGACCATTTATTCTTCTCTGGAAGCCTCAGGGGAAAGTGCATAGAAAGGCTACTTCTCTCTGTGGAAAAGTTATTCTGAAATTTTGA